TAATCACAATAATTACAGCAAAGTAAGTTCAAAGAAAATAACCTACAATTTCTTAAACTACAGTATTCCGCTTTTAACTTTATCTCTAGATATCCAAATTTGAAGAAGTACATATACTTTGTGTTAATTCTATGTGCTTTTTTGATACCAAGTTTATTAACATACTACTTAAACCTCGAACCAATTTATCACATGTATCCAGAGTAAGTATATAATATATAAACCCTTGATGTATTATTAAGGATAGATTTAGGGCTGCCTAGTAATGTTACTCGTCATATTAGATGTGATAATTGTATGAGAAGTTAATATAAAAACTGATCAAATTTAATACAAAAAAGTGGGTTTTTATATAAACGGTGACCTATTTTTAGTTAAGGGTAAATTTTTATATCTTTATATCTTTTTTGCTTAGGTTTAAAATAGATTCCAAATTAATTTGTTTAGAGTTGACAACCCTGTTTCCTTATCGTGCGCCTTTATGGATAGTCATGAGACTTTTCTTCTATTTTTCACATATCGTGCTATTACTGACAGTATTGTTAACTCCGTAGAATAGTTTTTGACCTATGTAGAGACTAACTGCAACTCATTTGTCTACCCTTTCATTACCTTCATATTTTCATATATATGTACCTTCATATCCTATCTTTCCCAAATAGGATTTTAATTACTTCAAAATATTCGTAAATCAATTTAAATGAGAAGATAGTTTTTTGATTGGATAAAAATGCTCATATTGTCAATGCTTGAGTATATCTTCTGCTCAAAAAGTATCCGGATTTTGTTGTTTGTTAACTACTCCTTAACTAATAGACCGTTTTCAAAATTTTTTTTAGTATGTTGGTACACCCTTTCTTGACATGTGGTACAAATTCGAGCGCCATCTATCAATCAGTTTGTTTACAGCAGCTGTTAATGTGAGACTACCTCAAGTGCATTTAGCGATTTTTACTATGGAAAATTATTGTTGTACGCATTTTTTTGACCACTCACGGCACCACTGTCATCGCTCAGACACCATACTCGCCAGATCTGGATCGCTTACCCTTCGTGGTAAGCGTTTTGTGTCGATTGAATCGGTAAAAGAGAATTCGCTGAAGGAACTAAAAGCCATACCTGCACGGGCCTACGAAAAGTGTATGGAAGATTGGATTAAGTGTTGGCATATGTGTATCGCTTTAGAAGAAGCATATTTTGAAGGAGATAAAATAAATTTGGAATAAAATTTAAATTTGTGTATTTTATTTACAAAATCCGAATACTTTTTGAGCAGAAGGTACCTTGTCTGGTACATATCTCTAAGTAGTTGTAATTTTAACAATTTCTACCAGAAAATTAGGAACATTTTCTGACAACAAAGAAACTACCACTAACCAATCACACTTAATATATTGTGATCATTTCCATTATACATAACACATATATTTTTCGATACTCGTAAAATAAATACTTTTATACATACATATATTTTTCAGAACATACCGATACTTGTACTTCAGAAATAATGAAACGTTCTACCAAACTTATATACCTTTCTATACCAATATTAGCGGATATTTGTGCGGCATTATCTGTTCGGATGTGTTTTTAAAATTAGTAAATAATAATAATAATGCTACACAGAATTATCACAGAATTCTCAAGTATAAGCTGGCCTGGTGGTCACTCATTCCAATGTTTTTTGTATTAATATCTATTGGAACTTTAATGATGGAACAAACTTTTGAGAAGCCATCTATTTTTGTTGCAATTTTTGCAGGATTATACAAAAATTTATGGGTTATCATATGTGGATTATTTGTTTTTGGCATGTGCTTTAAAATGGGAGGTAAGTTATAAAATTATAGCAACTGTTTTCATATTACATACTTAGATACTATAAAATGAATATTTTTAATTTTATTTTTAAATTATTTAATTTATTTCATTTTTATTTATAGGAATTTTTCATAAAACGTCAGTGCTTCCATCGTCTACAGTTTTAGCGAAAATATCTTTCCAAGCATATCTATGGCATTTCGCCATTCTGCATTTAATGGCTACTTTGTATAGACCTCCAATTTACATTAGTCGGCTTAATGTGGTATTTTAAATATATTATTTATAAAGTTTTACACTATTTTGAATTCCATATCTTTCAGATAACAATTATTATATGTAGTTATATTTTTAGCAATATAGTAGCGTTTTTTATTACAACATGTTTCGAGTACCCGATTAATGGATTTATTAAGATGTCTAAGCGAAGAGATTACAAATTTAGAAATAATAATAATAACACTTTAGAACTAAATAGTAAATAAGGTTATTTGGGTTATATTTTAAATAATTTAATTAATATTTTACTTCATTATCTTACTATCATAATTTCATTAATATTAAGTCATATTGACAGGTATAGAACATAGAACATAAAAGCTTCCTCATAATAATCACATTTACTGTAATATCCTTTACTGTAATTTTCTTAATCCGCAAATTTTTTATTTTTTTTAACTTGCAATTACTAGAAATGCAAAAAAAAATTAAATTTTTTAATGTTTTTCATCCGTAGATGATTAAGTTTAAATATAAACAGTTTTGAAAAAGGTTTTTGCAAATTTTCTTTTTTCCAGTAAAAAAGAATTATAAATAAACTTAAACTTAACTTAATAAACTTAAATTTAACTGTTATATAATTATAAATAAGTAAAAAAGGATAAAATGATGCTGAATAAACAAAAGGTATATGGGAATAAACTAAAAGTAAATAAAAAAAATATTCAAAAGTTAAGCAAATCTTTCGTTTCTTTTTTAGTAACACATAAAAATATTAGACAAAACAGCAATGATCTATATAGACCTGTTCCCGTACGTACTTATAGTAAAACACAAGTAAAAAGTTACTTGGTTTTTGTAATTTTCTGTTCGCGTACACATAATCTAGTAAGGTGAAAGTGTATGTAAGTGCAAGTTGTTATTTCGTTTAAATAAAATTTGCTTGAAGAATTGTCGTCATGACACGAAATTTATAATAAAAAATATATTGTAAAATTTGAAAGTCATTTCTACTTTATTCAAATAAAACTGCTAGTAAAATCTAGTAAAAAAATCATATGATTCCAAGTTTTACTTAAAAACGTATCCGTACTTTTTGCGTACACTGTTTTTATTAGAAAGAAAATATGACATTATATTTATTTTAAGCCAATCATTAATGAGTGTTCCAAAGTTGACAAGATCAGACACAAACTTATCTGATCTTATAGATAATCACACTCAATAATTTTCATGAATTTCTCATAGCGCATTTTTTAAAAATAGTAAGTTGAAAATCGCAACTAACTCTCTCACATATACTTAAAATATATTCTATATTACTTTAAAATAATTAACAAAATTTTTATAGGAATTAAATTTGTGGGGTAAACGTATTTTTTTTTTTTT